TTTTTTTTTGGCAACTGAAAAGAACGCTTCTGAAACTCTGATAAGTCTCTCTATGTGTGTTTGTGCATTGGCATATCTTTGTTCCTAACAGTTCAAAGAGATACCTAGGCATATCAGTTTAACAGCTGAGAAACCTAATTGCCTTGAATGATTACTAGTGGATATTTAGCACTAAGGAGAAGGTTGACTCAAGTGAATTTTTAAATCTTCTCAGGCAGATTACTGATTTTCCCAAAATGGTGGTAAATGCTACTTCTCAAAAGGTTATGGCAGTGGTTCTCAACCTTCCTAATGCTGTGACCTCTTAATACAGTTCCTCGTGTTGTGGTGACCTCCAACCATAAAATTACTTTCATTGTTACTTCATAACTGTAATTTTGCTACTGTTATGAATTGTAATGTATCTGTTATCTGATTTGCAGGATGCATTTTCATTCACTGGACCAAATTTGGCACAAATACCCAATATGCCCAAATTTGAATACTGGTGGGGTGGGGGGAGGGAGGAGGGAGGAGGGATTGGTTTTGTCATTTGAGAGTTGTAGTTGCTGGGATTTATAGTTCATCTACAATCAAAGAGCATTCTGAACTCCACCAATGATAGAATTGAACCAATCTTGGCACACAGAACTCCCATGACCAACAGAAAATACTGGAAGGGCTTAGTGGGCATTGACCTTGAGTTTTGGAGTTGTAGTTCACCTACATCCAGAGAGCACTGTGGACTCAAACAATGATCTGGACCAAACTTGGAATGAATACTCAATATGCCCAAATGTGAACACTGGTGGAGTTTGGGGAAAATAGGCCTTGACATTTGGGAGTTGTAGTTGCTGGAATTTATAGTTCACCTATAAATTCAAAGAGCATTCTGAATCCCACCACACAGAACTCAGATGACCAACAGAAAATACTGTGTTTTCTGATGGTCTTTGGCGACCCCTCTGACACCCTCTCACAACCCCTCCAGGGGTCCCGACCCCCAGGTTGAGAAACGCTGGCTTATGGCATCGTTTTTCCAAAAGGCTATGATTTCTAGCAAAGTCATGCCTTTCCAACGATCATAATTCTGGATAACAGCCAATTTCATACTGATACCATGCCCTCTACCAACATAAAAGCACTCCAAATGTTGAATTGAATTTACGAAATTGAATTTGAATCTGCATGAATAGATGACAAATGAACAATATCAATCTCTGTGTGTATTTAAGGAATAGCTTTCCACTTGGTGCATTTTGGATCCTGGGCATAGTATATCTTGATTAGCTGCCTGTGTATGCAATCACTTATTAAATTCTATTGTGGGTTTAAAAAACAAAACAATGCCCATATATCAAGGAGTTGGGCCTTGTTTGATCATCACTCTCCAAAGCCAGCAATTTTACTCATTTATCCCACATTAGCTCCAGCAAAGGATCACCGCCTTGTCGGGGCGCTGGAGCTTGAGCACCTCAATGATGTCATGAGCGAAACCGTGAAGGGCCACCCAAGACGGGACGGTTGTGGCAGAGAGGTCAGACCAAGCGTGATCCCTGGGGAAGGCAATGGCAAACCACTCCAGTATCCTTGCCAAGAAAACTAAATGGACCAGTACCACCAGAGATATGTCGGTATGCCATTGGAAGATGGGACTCCCAGGTCGGAAGATGGCCAAAATGCTACTGGGGAGGAGCAGAGGATAAGTTCAACTAGCCCCAGATGTGATGACGCAGCTAGCTCAAAGCCGAAAGGAAGGCTAGCGGCCGACGGTACTGGAGGTGAACGACGAATCCGATGCCCTAAAGATCAACACACCATAGGAACCTGGAATGTAAGATCTATGAGCCAGGGCAAATTGGATGTTGTTATTGGTGAGATGTCAAGACTAAAGATAGACATTCTGGGGGTCAGCGAACTGAAATGGACTGGAAGGGGCCACTTCACATCAGATGGCCACCAGATCTACTACTGCGGACAAGAGGAACATCGAAGAAATGGAGTAGCCTTCATAATTAATAAGAAATTCGCTAAAGCGGTGCTTGGATACAACCCAAAAAATGACAGAATGATCTCAATTCGAGTGCAAGGAAAGCCTTTCAACCTTACAGTGATCCAAATATATGCCCCAACCACAGCTGCTGAAGAAGCAGAAGTAGATCAGTTCTATGAGGATCTGCAGGACCTACTGGATAATACACCAAAAAGAGACATTATTTTCATTACAGGAGACTGGAATGCCAAGGTGGGAAGTCAAATGACACCTGGGATCACAGGCAAGTATGGTCTGGGAGAACAAAATGAAGCGGGACGCAGGCTGATAGAATTTTGCCAGGAAAACTCGCTGTGTATAACAAACACTCTCTTCCAACAACCTAAAAGACGGCTTTATACATGGACTTCACCAGATGGTCAGCACCGGAATCAGATTGACTACATCCTTTGCAGCCAAAGGTGGCGGACATCCATCCAGTCGGTGAAAACAAGACCTGGGGCTGACTGTAGCTCAGATCACGAACTTCTTATTGCTCAATTTAGAATAAAACTAAAGAGATCAGGGAAAATACACAGACCAATTAGATATGATCTCACTAACATTCCTAGCGAATATACAGTGGAAGTGAAGAACAGATTTGAAGGACTAGATTTAGTAAACAGAGTCCCAGAAGAACTATGGACAGAAGTCCGCGACATTGTTCAGGAGGCGGCAACAAAGTACGTCCCAAAGAAAGAAAACCAAGAAGGCAAAATGGTTGTCTGCTGAGACACTGGAAGTAGCCCAAGAAAGGAGGAAAGCAAAAGGAAACAGTGATAAGGGGAGATATGCCCAGTTCAATGCGCAATTCAAGAGGTTAGCCAGAAGAGATAAGGAACTATTTTTAAATAAGAAATGCATGGAAGTGGAAGGACAAGAGACCTCTTCCAGAAAATTAGATACATTGGAGGTAAATTTCAGGCAAAAATTGGTATGATAAGAAACAAAGATGGCAAGGACCTCTCCGCTTGCTGAAATTTTTCATTAGAAAAAATGGAGCTCCTGGTACATCTGTACCTGCACACACTTCCTACTTACACTCTGAATTTTTCATTAGAAAATAGTGTTGGCTAGTGAACATTGGAAACAGTTGACTCAGAATCTCTACACATGTGGAAGCTGGGAAATAAAATGGCTGGTTGAATTTATTATGTAGCACTCCACAGTTTCTGTCTCTCTGTCTGTCTGTCTATCTATCTATCTGCATTATCATTTTAAATGATTCCAAGAAAATCTGTCTAAACTCATGGTACCCCGGAAAACACCTGAAGGAGTTGATAATAAATAGAGATATTATTCTTCCGAGTGTGTTGCGAGTTCAATTATGTTTGTGGCACACTGTGCTGCTGTACTAAATTAGAAATTACAGATATGTCATTCAGCTGCCAGAAGCTTATAATTTAGCCATACATTCTGAGAACGCTCTTACCCTTCCTCTGTTTCCCTGTGGAATTCTCTCACCAGGCAAATATGGTCATTGCTAAACCACTTTGTTTAAAACAATGATTAAAAATGCATTTGTTCATTCTGCGCAGCTTGGAGGGGTGCACTTCAGTGGAACTTTCATGCTGAGATTGTGCTCATTGTATTACAGTACATTGTAACTTTGGATTGATATCTAATAGATTTAATTATTGCATACAGTTGGCGTGTTTTATTATGTTCTTTACAGCTATTGTCATAGTCTTCCTTTACTTTAACTGCATTCTCATGTTTCTGTAGAACAGAATTCATATCTTGCTGTGCCACTTACAATGGCAGAGGTGGAAGCTCACATTATTGAATATTCCTTCATTTAGAAACAAAAAAAAAACCCTATTCATATAAAAATCTAACTTGCTTGAAGATGCTAGGCCATACCGTATGTCATCAACAAGCTAATTTTCAACATGAAGGAAATGTATTCATTTCTTTTTAGATCCACATCTGTGCAGGTACAGCTGTACCAGGAGCTCCAATTTTTTTTGCTTTGCATTGAATGTTTGTTGTAGTCCTAAATTTCAGGGACTCTACAGATAAGTGGCTTCTTTTGGCTGCAATCATAGGGCAAGCCACCTGTCAATTATAGTTGGGTTCCCTGGTCCCACCCCGTTTTTGGGTTTTTGGAGGGAATAGGAGCCATTTTGTGTTCAGTCCACACAGAGAAGCCTTTCACGCAGGACATAATACTAAGAGCTCCTGTAGAAAGCTTCGTCTTCTACGGCTTGGCTGGGAGATATACAGCCTTACAGCTTGGCCGGGGAGAAAGGTCCCACGGCTTGGCCAAGGATTATACAGCCTTACAGCTCCTTTGCTGAGGGACTTCAGTCAGCCATCACAGAAACCTGAGTTCTTTTTCCCCTGGAAGTCTACAAAGCTCTGCTTCGTAAGGGTCACTCGCGGAAGCCAGAAGCAGTTGATACCAGGTGCAGGGGCTCCACGCCAACACAGGCAAAGACAGACTGCCCAGATTAGAAGTTAAGGATTTCCCCGTTAGTTACAGTTATGAAGACAGTGCCTGTTCCCTGTGGACAAGATTGAGAGGGAGCCAATAGACTGTTAAGAAAGCCTTAAAATACCTGTTTGTTTTCATTAATAAAGAACTTTGTTGAACCTTTAAGCAATCTAAAGAATCTAAAAGAAGCCACCTATCTGCAGAGTCCCTGAAACTTAGGACTATAACAAACATTAAATGCAAAGCAAACAAAATTGAAGCTCCTGGTGCAGTTGTACCTGCACAGGTTCTTTTGTTTTTAAGGCATTCATTATGCACAGAGCATTTTTATATGTATAGATGTATGTATTTTTAAATTATTGTATTTGTATGTTTTTTTAAACTGTTATTTACTGTCTAGCATTTAATTTTTGCTGTTAGCTGTTCTGATTCCCTCCACGGAGGTAGAGAAGAACGGGATGTAAAAGTTCTGAGTAAATAAAAAAATACATATTTTAAAATACAGGTTGCAAATAATGGCTGGACTGATATGTTCTCGTACTTATTTTGCAGAAAAAAACATTTTGATGTGCCTCAAGATGGGAGAGTTAAGATTGCAGTCCAAGATGAGCAGCTTTGTCCAGCAAGGAGAAGAAATGACTGAACAACTTAGAAAAACTCAGAGGAGATGGCGATTGATCTAGTCGTTTGGTGAGGAGACGGTATGCAAGCAATGCCTTGAGATAAAGAACGGCTGTCATGAAAGAAGACAAATGTGTTTGAGGGAAGGCTTACAGCAATGAAAAACAAGTTGCTCCAGTGGGATTCCAAGTTGAGAGTGGACATATACTACAATGTGAACCTTAGGTAGTTATAGTTTCTTTGCCTCCCTCATCCATTAAATTGCCATTTAAGCCTAACTCTTAAGTGTCGAAATAATAAATGCAACTTTTTTCCGAAGTTCTCTTGTGAATACTGTTACAATAAGGTAGATAGCGAGCTGCATTCTTTCATAGTTTTTCCTCACACAAGAGAGCTCTCTTTTGGAACCCAGGAAGGGAGAACAGCGCCCATTTCAAATCATGTAACTTTCCCATATTGATCCATGGCAAGATAACAAGCTTTGGCTTCATGTTTCTGAGCCAACCACAACAGTGCTGATGGGGAATTTGAAGGAGAGTATCTCTCCCATCAAGACCCCAACTAGAAAAAACAACAACAAAGGCACCTGTGATAATACAAAGCAATAAAATAGATGTCCTCCATTAAACAACGTCATAGATTAATTCTGCTATTTTGAGCTACCAATTGCCCGTACACTGGCCTTAAGAATTACCTGCCCCTCAGGAACTTGATGACATCCTTACAAAGCAGGTAGGCATTGATTCGCGTGCTGAGGACTATGGCAATACATGGGTATTGTGCACTCCGAAAAAGCTAGGCATTTTTCATGGAAGGGGATATCATTTGGGAACCAATGTTTTTTATCAGTCATTCTGGTCGATCGTAAACCAGATCGGGGTATAGGGTGACAACCTGTGCTGGACGGGGTTACACTCCCCCTGAAGTCACAGGTCCGCAGTTTGGGTGTCCTCTTGGATTCATCACTGCGACCGTACCTCATAAAGGCTGATCTGGCCAGGGTGTTCCATGCCTTGGTCACCTCTAGATTGGAATACTGTAATGCGCTCTACGTGGGGCTGCCCTTGAAAATGGCTCAGAAATTTCAACTGGTCCAATGGGCGGCGGCCAGGTTGTTAACTGGTGCTCCTTACAAAGAGAGGTCAACACTCATGTTTAAGGAGCTCCATTGGCTGCCGTTCATTTTCCGGTCCCAATTCAAGGTGCAGGTGCTCACCTACAAAGCCCTAAACGGTTTGGGACCCGCCTACCTGCGTGACCGCATCTCCGTATATGAACCCACACGATCCCTCCGTTCATCTGGAGAGGCCCTGCTCACGATCCCACCTGCGTCGCAAGCGCGTTTGGTGGGGACGAGGGACAGGGCCTTCTCTGTGGTAGCCCCCCGACTCTGGAACTCTCTCCCCAAGGACATCAGACAAGCCCCAACATTGGCAGTCTTTAGGAAGAGCTTGAAGACCTGGCTGTTCCAGTGTGCCTTTCCAGAATAGGAAACTCCCAGCATCATGTCCCAAACGCACTTTACTAGAGATTTAAGATTGCCTGAACATCGCACCTACCCTGAAATCCTTGCATTTCACCTGTCATGTCCAGCACTTTTAATTTCTTCATTACATTTGGCCCGGCCCTAGTTTTAAATGTGTCATGATGCATTGTTTTGATGTTTTACTGTTATTGCTTTAATGTTTATTGGTTTGCTTTATGAGTTTTATTGTTGTATTTGTTATGCTGTTGTTTTATTGAGGGCCTTGGCCTTTGTAAGCCACACCGAGTCCTTCGGGAGATGTTAGCGGGGTACAAATAAAGATAATAATAATAATAATAATAATAATAATAATAATAATAATACACAATCCTATTAGGCACCCTAATAGGGCAAAGAACACAATGCTGCAAGATGTGTAGGGCAAAGAACACAAAGATGTGTAGGGAAAAGAACACAATGCTGCAAGATGACAAATCCATATTGAAAAGGCATGTTGTGTTTCTTTTTAATTATCTTAAGTCTCCTCTAGCAAGAAAGACATTTGACTTCGGGGCATTTCTGTTGAAAACTCAGTTGTTTGCTGGTAGTTATTATTTCGTATCAAAAGCATTGTATAAATTAGTATAAAACCGATACAAATAGAAGGAGCGCAGGTAACTAAATATCTTTTGACCAAAAATGGGCAACAGCAATGTCTGTAGCCTCCAACAATTCTTCCTCTGTACATGAGGCAGGGCATAGTGGACAAGCATACAGATGCAGAGTTGTCTGTTCTGCTCCACAGTCACACAAGGTGTGGGATTCTTTTAGGCAGTAATTAATAGAGAATAGAAGAAAGTATTGGTCGTGGGATGGGATGTTTACAAACATGTCCAACTCATAGCTTTATGTATTGTCGAAGGCTTTCATGGCCGGAATCATGGGTTGTTGTAGGTTTTTTCGGGCTATATGGCCATGTTCTAGAAGCATTCTCTCCTGACGTTTCGCCTGCATCTATGGCAAGCATCCTCAGAGGTAATGAGGTCCTCATTTACCTCTGAGGATGCATGCCATAGATGCAGGCGAAACGTCAGGAGAAAAATTGCCTCCAGAACATGGCCATATAGCCCGGAAAAACCTACAACAACTCATAGCTTTATGGTTGGCCCAGAGTGGGATGTACGAGGGGTATTTTTTAAGTAAGGTCCGTTTTGTTGTAGACACTAGTAGTTCGCGTGCATACCGCAACGAGCGCGTGCGTCATGTACCGGCATGCCTCGGGAACAACTGTGCTCACTTCCCGCCGATGAATTTCTGCAGCAGACAGGTTCCTTGCTGACAAAAACCGTATCACTGAGCAAACCTCACATGCAGCAGGTGAGTTGATAGTCTTAAACATTTTTAAAGCACAGAACAGAACCGTACAGGTTAGCTACAGAGCGGAAACTGAGCACAGTTGTTCCCGAGGCATGCCGGTACACGACGCATGCGCTCGTTGCGGTATGCGCGCGAACTACTAGTGTCTACAACAAAACGGACCTTACTTTAAAAATACCCCTCGTATAAAGAACTGCCTGACACCATATCTGAAGAGTGGTCCTTCCCATTTTAAAATCAAGATTAAATTTAGTATCCAAAGATATTGCTGATTATTTCTAATCAGTTTGATACCCCACCCCTACATTGCTGGCCCTATGCATTTTTTTACTTTACCCATTTTCTCTCCAAACCTTCCTGTCTCCTTTAGGATGCTTTCACTGGTCTTTGCCTCTCTCTTCCTACAGCTACTTTCTACTCAGTCCTCACTGTCCTTAAACTACTGTCTTCTCAACCCTGTGGCTCCTGCTTTAATAGGCCCATACGTTTTCGTTTCACATATCCTATGTTTTTCAGATCCTCTGGTCTTTCAGAATATTAGGCAGTTCAGCCGATCTCTGCCAAAGGCTTTGCTGTTGCTCCTCTTCCTGCCTGTGACCCTCCAGTGTAGTTTGGAGTTTATTTATTTTATTTCTGGTATTTCTACCCCGTCTCTTCTCTACCCTCCGCAGGGGGACTCAGGACGGCTTACATTTAGTAACGATACGCTACGTAACAATTACAATAACCACAATTAAATACATAAAGTAATCATTAAAAACAGTACATACAGCATTAATTAAAAACAGTAAAACAGTATCACAGTATCATCAGCTGTTATGCCATTCCAGTCAATGTAAAGTGCTAATTATGTCTGCTGTCCGAAAGCCTGGTCCCAGAACCACGATTTTAATTTATTCCTGAGAGTTAGGAGGGATGGAGTCTATCTTATCTCATTTGGAAGCGTTTCATAGGCGGGGGGCCACAGCCGAGAAGGCCCTGTCTGTCATCCCCGCCAAACGCATTTTCGATGTTGACGGAAGTGAGAGCAGGGCCTCCCCGGATGTTCTTAGATTATAAGGTGAGATGTAGATGCAGATGCATTCGTACAAGTAAACTGGGCCAGAACGGTATAGAGCTTTATAGGTCAAAACCAGCATTTTGAATTGAGCTTGGAGATGGACCGGCAACCAGTGGAGCTGACATAACAGGGTGGTGGTATGTTCCCTGTATGTCACTCCAGTTAGTAATCTGGCTGCCTCCTGTTGGACTAGCTGGAGTTTCCGAACCGTCTTCAAAGGCAGCCCCACGTAGAGCGCGTTTCAGTAATCTATTCGAGATGTAACCAGAGCGTGGTCAACCATAGCCAGATCAGACTTCTCATCATCCATTACTGTTGACTATGCTGACAAAGACTGATGGGGATCACAATTAAACAACATTTGGTCCACCACATGTTTTTCATTCCTAATTTACTGGAAATCCCTATTATCGTGTCACCTTAGGTGTAAAATAGATGCCAGCTGCTGGACCAGAATCCTAACCTAGGATTTTGTGTGGGTCTGTTCCAAACAGGCAAGAACACAAACAAAAGGGAAGAACGTCTCTCTCCCCTTTGCAGGATATCTCCTAAGTGGCACGCTATTGATTAAGTTGATGCCAGCATATGTCGCTTCCAGTTCCTTGTTCTGCAAGGCCCACCCTAATACACCACTGCATCACCACATCCACAAATCAAGAGTTGAGCTTGTACCCAAATGTGTTCCAGTTGTTCTTGATCATTGAGTAGAGACTTACACTGGAGACAGAAGGTGCCTTCATCTCTCCTGGCCCAAGAGCAGCCAGAATAAGCACCCCTACATTCAGTCAGTTGCCAGCAGTGCCCAGCAGTGCTGGCAACTGCTGGGCACCAGAGAAGGCAGCCAACATCTGCCAGCTCTGATTAGTACACTGAGGAATGTCTTCACTCCACCACAGCACATGTTTCCTTCAGCAATCCTACCACTTCATCACACAGGGCTTTTTTAGCATCCTAGGACACTTCCCCACCAGTCCAGCGATGGATGGACACACTGCCCATCACATGATGCCACTAGACTCCTAGCAGAGGCCCCACCCACAACCAGAGTTGAAGCACCCTAGGAAGCTTCCCTTCAGCACAGATCCATGCTGCTTCGGAAATGCTTCCCCTGTGTGATGGGGGAAGCCTTGCCATGAAGAAGCATTACACGATGGACAGAGTCGCTTCTTATCCCTACCGTTTTGCCACGGAGGCTGGCAAAATGTCATTGGGGAGGAAGTTCCCCATGTGATTAAGTCCATTGAGGAACCACATCTCTTGTGCTATGTTTTCCCAGAAGCTCTGCCATGAACAGGGCTTTTGCATACTCCACCAGGACCGGGATCCTACAAATTCTTAGAATAGCCCTTGTTTTATTTAAACAGCAATGGATGTAGCATTCAAATAAAAATAGCCAACGGGCAGGCCCATACCAGG